TGCTGTAAAACTGACATTTCTATTATGTTAGTGATATTGTAAATTGCTATTTGAAACAAGCCACTTTTTTTATTTGTTCGGCTGCTATTTACAGAAGAGAGTTTAGAAGCAGACAGAGCTGGATTCCTACTTACAAACTATCTGACCTTAACCAGATCATTGATGCTCTCTGAGCCTGTCTCCACTATATGTATGAAAGAGAATTCAATAAATGGTAGCCATTATTGCTGACATCCTGAAACAACAAAATTCTTGATCTTCTAGAATTACCTACGAGAATCTAAATATATAAGAAATACCTGCATATCATCACTTATAAAATGACCTAGCATTTGAACTGACAACCTGTTAACAGTTTATGTCCCAAGAAATATTTGCTATAAATAATGTGGCTTTCCCAACCCTAAACTCAATTTAACCTCCTATTAGATAATGAGAACCATGAGGTAGATCTGAAATTTGGAAGACTAAGTTCACCAAACCTAATTAAAAATGCAATGCAATGTAAGAAATCTAAAATTTCAGTGACTTAATTAATATAGCCTATATGTCAACAAAATTCTTCAAATACTATATATTTCAGAAGTTGTATTTATTAAAATTAGGCAGTCCACACTTTAATTCACAGAGCCACACATCCTTTGTTGGTTATACAGACTAACTAAAATGATGCCTTAGGGAGGGGCGCCTAGGTGGCTCAGTCGGTTGAGTGTCTGACTTCGGCTCAGGTCACGATCTCATGGTCTGTGAGTTCGAGCGCCGTGTTGGGCTCTGTGCTGACAGCTCAGAGCCTGGAGCCTGCTTCGGATTCTGTGTCTCCCTCTCTCTCTGCCCCTCCCCCACTCGTGCTCTGTCTCTCTTTCTCTCTGTCAAAAATAAATAAACACTAAAAAAAAAAGAAAAAGTTAAAAAAAAATGATGCCTCAGGGAGATGGATGGGTGTGTGGGTTTGAGAGGGAAATGAATACTATGCTTTGAATACGATTTTTATGAGTACACTATAGTGAATACTGGTAATTAATGCTTTAGTAAAAACAGAAATAGCACGATTGAAACAGCTCTTGGTAGTGAAAAGTTTCACAGATTCTACACTATATTTAAAGGTACCAGTAGTTAAGAGAATACTGGTTTACTATTACTGGAACTCTTTACTACTACTAGCTGGATAGCAGCTACAACTTATTTAACACTAAGATTTTGACTTTTGGTAAGTAGTAAAAATATTATTTAATAACACTACCAACAACAGCCACAATAGCAACAACGCTGAGAATGTGCTTTGTATAACATTCTCTTCTTTAATTCTTTCAATAATCTCATCAAGTAGCCACTATTATCCCCAGGTTTTTTTTTAATGTTTTTTAATGTTTGTTTATTTTTGAGAGAGAGAGATATGAGTATGAACAGGGAGGGGCAAAGAGAGAGGGACACACAGAATCTGAAACAGGCTCCAGGCTCTGAGCTGTCAGCACAGAGCCTGACGTGGGGGTTGAACCCACGAACCGGGAGATCATGACCTGAGCTGAAGTTGGATGCCCCACCCAACTGAGCCACCCAGGCACCCCTTTATTATCCCCAGTTTAAGATACAGACCCCCTCCAAGAAATGAGGCAACACCCAATATCACACGGTTAATCTGTAATAGAACTAACATTTATACCTAGAACTTTTTAAATTATAATTATGATATACCACACTACTAATAGTTTAGTAACCTGACATAAAAAGTAAATATAATTCCATAATTAAAATATCAACTTATGGAAGAAGATATTATCCTTATACACAGCACCAAACATATTCTTGAAATAATTATTTGACCTCTGCATAAATTGATATTTATAAAATTTAATTTGGCCCATAAGGAAATGTTTAAAAATAAAAAGAAAAGCTAGATTTCAATCATTTCAGAATGGTCTATCAAAATGTTATCTTAAGCTTCCAAAAAGTCTGAAAGCATAAACTAAGGCGCCAAATCAGAAAGATGTATCTATGTGAACAAACTAAGGGAGGCCAACTGACTGTACCAGATCTGTAATACATGCAGCTATTTAAAAAATAGGGGCAAAAAGGGTATTTTGGACTCTAAATAATAAAGGGTAGGGGCATAGAGAATATTCCTCTAGTTGAAGCCTTTTTTTTTTTTTAAGCTGGAATACAATGAAGCAATGCCTCAAAAATTCATAGGGAAAATTACGTCCAACACAAAATTATTTACCCAGCCAAATTATCAGTGAAGTGCTTGTGCAGAAAAAAATATATTTTTAGGCAGCAAAGTTTAAAACTTTTCCTCCCATGCATACTTTCTCAAGAAACTAGTAGAGGAGTTGCTCTACTAACAAAGAAAGAAGAGAGAGGAGACCCAGGAATGCCCAGAAGTCTGGAGAGTAGAAGAAAATACTAGGATGGTAAGTTATAGGAAGCAACCAATTCAGATTGCAGAGCTCCATGAGAGGTAACCAGGTAAAAATGAAAATGGTAGCCACCTTAAAATGGGAAGAAATTCATATTTCTAAATGGAGATGAATCGATGACAGGGTACATAAAACAATAAAGAAATAAAAACAAATTTTTATAAACATAATTATAATTAACTCTAGAAAAAACAAAAACCGCATAGAAGAAAGGAAATGTAATCATGGTACACTGGAACATTGGTAACAAATATTTACATATTCAAAAAATGTACACACTGAACACGGACAACCAACAACTCTGTCAAAGCTGTACTGGAAGGCTAGGGGGAACAAAACGTGTGTGTGATTGTGTGTGTTTGGGGGGAGGGTAGAGTAGGGTTTTAGGAAGTCCACACATATTATCTAAAATTGGAGGTAAAAAGAAATAGCAGAGTAAGTATGATATATTAAAATACCAGAAGTGGAAAAAATTATCTCTGAGGAGTCTAAACAGGAAAAAGGGACAGGGACACAGCAGACAGAGAAGTGAATTTTTTTTTTCCCATTATAAACCTTGTTAAATCCAACTTTTTAAAGTAGTGGTAGCATTTATAGCCTTTATAGCAAAGATCATTTTTTAAGATCACTATCTTAATACTTAGGAGTCTGAATTTTTAGGAAAAGCCCGAATTTTTTCATACATCCAATGAATATTATTAGATAATTACTGGGTTGGCTACTAGGCAGGATTCAAAGATAGACAATTCATTTTACCCACCCCTTGATAAGCTTATAACATAACAGAGGAATTAAATGCCCACAGTGAAAAGAAAACAAAATAACACCAGCAGCAATCAAGCTCAAATCTGTGAGCATATTTCTAACGACAAAAATCCTAGGACAACCCCAAAATAAGGGTGCCCAAGGAAAAGGCAAACTACTGGGGCTTACTCTAGTCCCTGATTCTGGTCCATTTCACCAGGTTTCTTTCAGAAGCTCTTAAAGAAAAAAGAAGTTGCACAGCTACGTGCAAACCTGAAAGGGATTACAGAACTCGGGGTGTGGAAAAGAGCTAACAGTACTGAAACCATTTCTACCACAAACAGATTAAGACCTAGGTTCTTGACAGCTTGTAATGACCATTTTGAGATATTATAATGTGTTTGGAAAGAGTAACAACATCTTCATGACCTAGGGTATCTGGGGTTTGAGGGAGTACATATGTGCATGTTAAGTAGAAACTATAAACTGTCTTCCCCAATTAATGTCGTGTCATTCATTAAAAAGGTAATTTGAAAGAAACAGAAACTGGATATGGACTGTTTTCTAAATATCACAGAGTAAAACAGAGAACATAAAAGTATGTAGAAACTCCTAATTATTGTGCTGCATGTTCTGGAAAACCAAATCTAAATGTTGAAAGGTATTAACACCGCCTCAATATATTCATCAGAAATCCTGAACACCTATTTCTTATTAAACTTACAATTAACATTTTTCTTTTGTTTATAAGGTGTTTCTTTTGTTGTTCTCACTTGTGTGCATGTTTAAATTTTTTTTATGTTTATTCATTTTTGAAAGACATAGAGCACAAGCAGGGGTGGGGCAGAGAGAGAGGGGGACACAGAATCTGAAGCAGGCTCCAGGCTCTGAGCTGTCAGCACAGAGCCCGATGTGGGACTCGAACTCACGAACCGCGAGATCATGACCTGAGCCAAAGTCAGATGCTCAACTGACTGAGCCACCCAGGCGCCCCACTTGTGTGCATGTTTAAATGTTTAAATGGTAGCAATGATGTTATTACATATATGTAACTTGCCTGAGTGAAAAATACAAGGAAAAGAATGCAAGAACATGGCTGACAGTTACCTTGAATATAGTAAACAAAACCTTTACCTTCTAAGAAGGCATTATTTCTTCTAATATATTTCTCTTTTCTATCATCAAACTCTTTTTTTTTTTTTCCACTATGAACACACACATAAATCCATTTATGCCAAAGTGGGATCTTATTCTATCCTAGTATCTTCGACAGTGTTAACTGGGGAATTACTTGGAAAATATTACTACAGATATTTATTGCTGGCAATAACAGTATTTAAATTCTAAATTAAAATTAAAGGAAAAAAGAAGAAAAGAGTAATTTGTCACCAAATTACTGTGACAAGTACAAAATCAGTAATACTTTTTAAACACAGCTAAAAAAAAAGCATGTATAAACTTAGGAAAACACAGGATTTTTAAGCAAAAGCTGAGTATAAAAATATCTTCGAATGTATTTTAAATACATAAAAAGGAGAGAGATGTTATACATGAATTGTTTTCAATGGTATCTAACAATAAAGATAAGAAGAAACAGTTATGGTTCTACTATGTAAATCAGCATTTTTCTACATTGGCAAAAAGCACAACTGAACATCCCAATGGAAAGAATAACATCAGGAAGACTAGAACGGCAAAGGTGAAAATAATTTTCTATTTTCTATAACTAACACCTAATTCTTACTTTGGCTTTATATTAAGAAAATGTTTTTTGTTATTTTTATTATCGTTGTTCTTATGTGTATTTTTAGTGATAATGATGATGTTACATATGTAACTTGCCTGGGTGAGAAATGAAAGGAACAGAACCAAAAGGATCTTCTGGAGGATGGTTATGTGGAGCAGAAAGTGGGTCTACATTCTTATCTGAGGATGCTCTCTCCTCGAGCCTGTCTGTAAAAATAAGATGAAACAAAAAATAAAATAAAATAAAATAAAAACGGTCTTTAAATTAAAAAAAAAAGTGGTAACAGTATAAATAAAATTAAACACAGCAACAGCCTTTTTGAAAAATATTAGATTCAGAGTTCATTTTTATAAGTATTACGGGGTAAGTCCTGAGCTTAATAGATACTTGTTGCTACAAGGCAAGCTTAACAATATCCTCTCACTGCTAAATATCACAAACACAATTAACCTAATAAATAACTTAGTTTGGTTTATTTAAATACCCAGTTGTCTTCAACTTGTAACATACTGGACCTGAACTAAAACCCAGCTTACTAAAAAGAGACACATTTGGCAGACTTCCTCCAAACATACATATGGGAAAAATATTGCAAACGGCTATTTATTCATAAAATAAGTAAATCTTATTTCTCAATAGCAATAACTTATTACCTTACTGTTCATTTCTCATATTACTTTGTAGTTATTTAATCATTCACATATGCACAGAAAGATACAGATATTCCTCTATTAAATTAAAAGCCTTAATGACAGAGTATATTATTTTATCCAATAGATATCTGTGATCTAGTATGTGCCAGGCACTATTCTAGGTAATGGGCAGGCAACATCAAACAAAATGAAGGGTCTTGCCTTCTTGGAGTTTATATGCTGGCATGGAAAAACAAACAAACAAAAAAAGCAATAAGCATAATGAGAAATATATAGAGCATGTTAAAAATAAAGCCGTAGAGAAAAGTGCAGTGTGGGGTAAAAAGAATTAAGGGTGTGGGCACAAGTGACAGTAATAAATAGCTCATAAGTATCAGGTGAGAAAAGACTCGAAGGAGGCAGGGAAGGGATACCTGGGGAAGGATACACCAGACAGGGGGAACACGAGAGCAAAGGCTCTGACTCTTGCAGAGGCAGGCTTGTCCCCTAACTCCCTAGTAGTGATTACCTTGCTCTGCTCTTAAACTGCGTATCACAGGCACTTGATCAGCTGGGAACTTCTCAATTTTTGTAAGTTGTCTCCCTATCCTCTGATTCTTAGCAATCAAGCGTATACTATTAGGAACCCATTCTGTTTTTTCAGGCATTTTAAGCATTCCTAGGACTATACCCTTCATGTTTAAAAAACCCTATGGATAAATTCTGCGGGACTCATTTGAGTCCTAAGACATTGCAGGGTACGCAAAGAAAATCCAAATATAATTAGACGTTCCTAAAAATGAAGTATAACTTCAGAATGAAGCAAAAAGCTCCAAGTGAAAGCACCCTAGGACAGTTCTTCTCAAATTAAAAGTGCATTCCAGTGAGCTGGGATTTATTAAAATTCAGATTCTGATTGGACAGTTCTGGGATGGGTTCTGAGACTCTGCACTTCAACAAGCTCCCAGGTGATGCAATACTACTGGTCCAGGGAGCACACTCAGGAAGGCAAGCCCTACAGTCAACAATATCCTAACTATACTTAATTATTGCTATGGAGAATTCTTTAAATACCCTTATGAGAATGGATACAATTATCAGCTTTTATGGCTAAACTAACTCTGCAATATCCACCTGAAACTTTGGGTTGACTAAAATTTTACTTGAAATTTCACTGGTAATATAATAATAAATATTTTGTGAAGACAACAAACTGACCATTGATTTATGCACAAACTAAAAGTTCCAAAACTTAAGAGTTACTTTTCAAATCCAATACTGCAGTGGATAACAATGAAAATTCTGGTACAGAAAAGAAAAGGACAAAGGAAAAGAGGAAGTGGGAAAGGACAGATGAAAGAGACTATCTCAGAGTGACAGCCACAGCATAACAATATCCAAGATCCCTCATTCTTGAAAATCAAGACAGTATATGCAAGTACTTAGGTCTAAACTAGGACCAAACTTCCTTTCTAAACCACTTGCATTGTAAGTGCTAGGATTCCTGTATAAAATGTAGTTACCTGGGCCTTACCACAAACCTAATGAATCAGATTATCTGAGCAGGAGTTTGAGAATCTACACTTTAATGTGTTCTCCAGGTTTATAAACCAGTACTGTACCAATGGTTCCCAGCACATAAAAATGCAAAGTTACCACTAAGGTTCTTTGAATCCTCATGCACTGGTATATTATCTCCATCAATCTATGGCAAATTCACATAAATGTATAAACAGCACCATGTAGTTATGACAAGAGTACAAACATTATCGTGTAGGGATAAACCAGTATTTTTTATACAGTGAGTCTCACAGTTTAAAATATGGAGACACTCTTATATGCAAAGTTCATTTATCCAATTATTTCAAAACAGAAATCAGAATAAATTCACTATAAAATGAATCATGTTCTCACTGTTCCATAAAACACAGAATCAATTTTTCCATGGAGGACTTTTTTTTTTTTTTAAATCATTTAAATTTCTGAAGTTCACTGGATAGGGGCACCTGGGTGGCTCAGTCAGTTAAGTGTTCGACTCTTGATTTCAGCTCAGGTCATGATCTTGTGGTTCGTGAGACTGAGGCCCACATCAGGCTCTGTGCTGACAGAGCATAGCCTACTTGGGATTCTCTCCCTCTCTCTCTCTGCCCCTTCCCTGCTCACACATTCTCTCTTTCTCTCAAAATAAACATTAAAATATTAATAAAAAAAAAAGTTCACAGAATAATCTAGATCTCAGGGTACAAAATACAAATAAATACATATGTTAATTTTTTAAATTATTAATTACCTATAATTGAAAGCTAATGAAAAGGTATACAGGAATACTTTTCAAATACACAGTCACCCCTAAATGAATTTAAATCCATTTTCAAATAATTGGTGTACATTAGAGCAAAACTTGAGCTTGATTTGCCCAATATTAAGAAACTTACCTCCTCCTGCCTTCCCAAAAGAATTATGTAGGTGAAGAAAGACATATCTTTTCAGGATTTTTAATTGATACAGATGGCAAAAATACAGGATTTAAAAATCCTAGAATCAAAGTATATTCCACAACATCATCAGAAAATTAATATACCCTGATAAGTTAACTCAGCAGCTTATATGGGTAATGGACTGAATAGCCAAAAAGTTAATGAAGAAATTTTACAAGTACAGTCTTCACCTGATACTTCTGAAACTACTCAAATATATTTGAGAAGTTCTGTTATTCTGCACTGAAGAAACAGCCATAAATGTGAATTTGCTTAAAATGGAAAGAGTTAGTATTTTACAACAAACTAATACAGACGTTTACATCTATATCCTTCCATGGCTTCACAGGAAAAAAAGAACACATTCGGTGGAATGTGCAAAGCAGCCATAGTCTGTGGTTTCTTCTCTTCTTCCTTTTAGTTATTGTAACACGGTTTTAAACAGAAACAAACAATTGCCATCAACAAAAATAATATTCCATTAAGTATTACTTTTAACTAACATGCAGAGCTACACAACCATTTGAACAAATGCAAGTTAAAAATTTTCCCAAAGCAAACACCTGTATTCTAATTAGTGTTTAATGTATTAAATTTTATCACAGATTTCTAAAGTTTACATGTTAATCTGGATATTTTGGTACAAAAGACAAAGAAAAATACAAGTTTAACTTTAAAAAATGTCACTGATATCAGCTTTATTCATGATGCTTAATTTTAATTTAATGTTTTGATTTTAAGTAGGAACAGACAAAAAATTCTGAACCATAAATAATATTGTTACACTGAAAGCAAAAGCAAGAATCTGGTCTATTTTATATGTTAAATCCCTTTGCCAACTGGTATATGGAATCAACAACTGTTTTCTTTATTGTTTTTTTTTTTAATTTTTATTTACTTTTTGAGGGAGAGAGAGAACGAGCGAGCGAGCACGAGCAGAGGAGGGGCAGAGAGGGAGACACAGAATCTGACGCAGACTCCAGGCTCTGAGCTGTCAGCACAGAGCCCGACGCGGGGCTCGAACTCACAGATTGTGAGATCATGACCTGAGCTGAAGTCGGATGCTCAACAGACTGAGCCACCCAGGTGCCCCGACAACTGTATTCTTTAATTAAAGATCACTAAAAAAGTTTTTGTTACCAACTACTAATATTTTAGAATTCTGGTATGTCAAAATATATGATTCTTAAATCACCTTTTGGATAATACACACAAGTAAAATATTTCCTAGACAGAATTATCCTTTTTTTAAAAAATAAATAACCATGTACCATCTTAAAAATAAAACCTCAGATGGCAATGTATTACTCTGAACAATCATTACATGGGCAATGCCTATATACAGGTATTCAGTTTCTCAATGGAAAGCATATCACAAACCAAATACAAATTACTTCAAAACAGAGTCTGGAAAATAGCTGGTAAAATCTGTGCTGAGAAAAAAGGAAAATTTGCTATTTCAAATGCATCAATAATTTACTTACTATTTTACAAAAAGTTTTTAACAACAAAGAAACCAACTAGTAATGACCAAAATTAATTAACTTTCATTACACTGTTAGCCTTCCACTGAAACTCCTAAGGTTCTGAATGAAATCTTCTATGCAGCAGGGAAATTTAGACCTTGTCAAGTGGATCAAATATTAGATACCTTATTGCTTGTGAGTCAGAGGTGCTAAAGAGGACTGAATATATTACAGTTAAGTAACACTTTGCAAAGAAATCTTTCTAAACTATATTCTATACATTAATGATTTCTTTATAAGCGTTATTAAAGATATTTCACCTTTTTTGAACACCATTATTACAACTATCAATTATTAAGGAAAAGACAGACTTTTTTCTTTTGCTGTCATGTCATTTCTGCTGTTGATGTTGTTTGTGCATAAAGTCCCTTCTAATTTGGTTTTTCTAAACCTGATAGTTTATATATAATTTTTAAATGCTGGTTAAAGGGCAATAACCTCAAGATGGAACCTATGATTTCCACTGAAGATGAGGAAAGGGAGGTGGCATTTATGGAGTGCCCAGACTCTTTCAAGACATTATTTAATTTTCCTGATAACTCTGCGAGGTAAGCATCATTATACCCAGTTTATAAACAAGGAAGTGAGACAGCAGTTATGTCCCTTTCCTGAGATTACAACCTAATTAAATGGCATTGCCAAGTATCAGAACCCTCGTATGTTTTCTGGTGCTATATGCCAATTTGAGTGTGGCAGCCCTGTGACAGTGGTTTCAATAGCTCAGGGACCATCTAGGCACTTTTCCAAATGGCTAACTTGCTCCAAAGTCTGACCTTCAGATAAAGCTCCTCCTGTACTTGCATTTGGAACTTACTATCTTTCCATAATCAACAGGGCAGTAAAATCTAAACTCTGGCATACACGTGTGCACAGATACATACAAAAATTACATGTTATCTGATCTTGAAGTTTGAAAGCAAATAGCTGGTTAAGAGTTTTACATGTTAACCCCAAATTTTATGAAGTTATGTACACATGAATATACTATATGCCATTTTTCCCTAAGTGAAGTAAGTAAAATTTGGCTGTCATTACAAATTCTAAGACGCTCAGAATAACACATTTTTATAAGATAGAGAATACTCTACCCCTTCCATCCACTGATGGAAAAAAAAGGAGGAGTTTTACCCAAAGAGTAGAAAATACTGATTTAGCAAACCCTTAGCTACCATCCTGGGTCAAAACACACTAAAATGAATATTTTAATTTTACCTTTTGCTTTCAAAATAACCCCATAAATTGTATTGATTTGGTTAATCCCTGGGTCTCCCTGCCACTACCCCGAAAGAAAGAGATACTTCATTTCCTTCTTTAAAACTTGTCTCTGGGGGATACTCAACATAAAGTATACTAGAAATGCCAAACAAAAACAGTCATGGTTTACAAAAACTTTTTTAATTAAAAGATGTAAGTTTGGTTTTACCAGAGTCGACAAACCTTTATTAAAGGTTCAAAGCTCATTTTTATATCTGCATTAATCATCAACTTAATTTTTCATAAGCATATAACCAATATGAAGAATACAAATTTAAATCCTAAACAAGTAGTCTTTCGTGAATTCAGGGCATTTATAAAAATTTTACATAAAATATGTATCAGTTGGGAAGAAAGCATTTCATCTAATCAGTGTTCTCATAAAACCAGTTACCTAAAATAAAATAGAAGCTAGGAACTAAAACTAGGGACCATTTGGATTGTCTTTTCACACGCAAAACAGGAAAACACACTTGGACAGGCGTATGCACACACACACACACACACACACACACACACAGGCCTCCAAAACCTGAAAATTATCTACAGACTCTAGAGGTTAGCTTCTTGTTCCTATTTTGCAACCTTCTGAAAACATTCCACACACCCACCTTCCAAAAAACAACTTTTCTAAAATACGTGTGGTGAGGCTTGACATATATATTAGGTAATTTAAGAAAAGGTAAGGATTCCAAGTAAAAACATTGAGATATCTGATTTAAAGTGGAAAATAATTTATTTATCTTTTGCCATATCAGGACAACAAAGCAGCCCTTTTATGTCAGGACTCAATGAAAGGGCATCACAAAACATTAACATAATGTAGTAGCCCATGTTTTCTTTCAGGCACTTTCAAAGGGCATTTCAGACCCACAATATCTTCTACTGAGTGTGCAAGAAAACAGAGCTGCAAAATGATTAGTAAGCAAGATACTAATGTCTCCCTTTTCATTTGAACATTAATTTTCCATGTTTTAGAGATATTCTGAATTTAACATTCAAAGTTATGCAGTATTTAAGTGTTAGGAATCAGCATTATTATCAGCAATCTTGGATTTAATAGCTACTATCAAGCAATTGATTTCTAATGCACACAACATAGTTAGATAGTATATATAAAAGAAGATGGCCTGATTTTTGCCCTCAAATGCACAAAAAGAATTTTCTATTTACCACCTCAAAACAGTCTTTGGCCTTGCTGAATTATTATAGAGCTGTTATATTACTGTGAAGCAAAGTAAGCCTTCAAGTGTCCCTTACTTGATCTCAGAAGGTCAAATTCTCTGTCCAACAGTTCCTCTTCTGTTAACTTGGAGAAATTATCCTCTCCAAAAGGATTCCACCCTGACATATCAGGTGGGTTACTGATGTTCTTCTGACTTGTAACATTTGCTACTGCCTCTTTACCAGCAACTGACCTATAGTAATAATTAAGAGAGGGAAAGAAGAAAAAAAAAACATTAGAATTAAAAATTCTAAAGTGCCCTACTTCATACTTTCTAAATACTTAGAAAAGCAGATCCTTTTATTATGATGGAAACGGCAGATTAAGGAGACCACCTGGGATCTGAACCACCCCCATGTGTACCCTTGGGCAGGTTCCTTAACCTCTCTCTGTCTCAGCTTCTTCATCTGTAAAACAGGAGTAACTATCTACCCCATAAGGTTACTGAGAAGATTAGTTAATACGTATAAAACAAAAAGAACGGTATCTAGAAAAATAAATCAGCACTCAATAAATATTATGATCATCATAGCAAACAGCCCTAAAGTGACAATCAGTTGCCATGTCAAACAGTATCACTCTAAAATCACTATTGAATATGATCTTATGCCCTGGTTATGTTGAGAACACCACAATAATTTTCCTTTTGACAAAGGCATTCTCTACACAGCTACCAAGAAAACATGAACTGTTAGGACTGCTTTATGTATTAGCTAGAACTAGATGACGGTTGTTTTCTACTTAATAAATAACTCATGGTATTTAAAGTATCTACATAGCTGGAGCTTGGGACCACTGGTTTTATGAAAGTTATCTAATAGGCCTTTTGGCTTTTAAAAGAAGGTGAGAATGTAAAGATTTCTTAACCTGACAATCCCTTGGTACCTGTCAGTCACCCCAGCCTGGAAATATACCACAGGTACAAGGCAATGTAACAAAGTTGTCACATTTGTTTCATAATTCAGGTCCAGATATTCTAACATTGGTAATGGAGGGAGAATCTCCATGCTTTTCTAAAAAAGTACCTCAAATTTGCAAGCCTTGACTCATCTCCCTAAATACACTCTCCCCTTGGGAGCTTACTTCCACTGCCACCACTCAGATCTTGAAAAGAGAGGGCAAAAGTTGCCCATTTAGTCCCCTAGTCCAAGCCTGTACAGTATAGCTGAGCCAAGAAAGAAATGTGTAAACACTTACTGAAAGCTAGACAAAAACATAGTAATTTACCAACAAGTAGATAGTCTTTTTTAGTAAATATGACTTAGCTATCTTAAAATCAAATATAATTCAGTTTTGAACTCATGGTGGGAACGCATCAACTGCCAATATCTAAGCCTGCCTCCACATGACAGAATCTCATACTAATTCCAAAACTGCCTTCAAGGACTTTCAGAGCCCCTGAAACACAAATCAGAGAGGCTAGAACTCAAACAGAAATAGGTGTTCTCCCTCCTGCCTGCCAATGATCCCTTTGAGAACTTTCTGATTCCCTATCCCTATCCTCCTCTTGATGTTCTTTGGATGATTTCATTGATTCTTCTTGGTAGACTATAAATCAATGAGGCGTGTCACCTTAACCAATGGTTTAAATAGGTGTTAAAATACATCTACAAGTTCTTGGACACTCCTCCCTTCAAAGCACAGAATCGAATTACCCTGCCCTTGAATATTGGGTTAGATCTAGTGACTCAATTCCAACAAATGAAATATGGCAGAGAAGGACCAGTGTGTCTTCTGAGACTAGATCATAAAAGGCATCACAGGTTCTTTCTTGCCCTCTCTTTTGGACCATTTGCTCTTGAACAAACCAGAACAAATAATTCTTTATTCAAAACAGTCTTTGGCTTTGCCAAAAAGAATACTTAAGCAACCTTTTGGAAAGATCCATGTGACAGAGAACGAAGGCCTCCTGCCCTAAGCCATGTTGAGTGAGCCATCTTATGAAAAGATCCTCCAGCACCAGCCAAGCCTTCAGCAGACTGCAACTCCAGGCAAACATCTTAACTGTACCCTCATGAGAGACCCTTCCCTTGACATAAACATAGGGCTAAACCACTCCGAAATTCCTGATCTAAAGAGTGTATGAGATCACAAATGTTTATCATTGTTTTAAAACACTAAATTTGGGGGTAATTTATTATGCAGCAACAAATAACTAATACAACAGGGCAATTTACCATAAAAAGTAAAATAATATATGTGTTGATGTTTATGTCACTATTATTTGAATACATCATGGTAACACTCTCCAATAGCCATACTAAAGATATATCAACACAATGGAAGAGTAGAAATTTTAGCAGATTAAGTGGTAAAGGAAATAATCATGCTAACCAAGATACTGACCTTTCCCTTTGTCTAAGGAACTACCCGGTTTCTTATCTTCTACTCAAACATCTCTTATACATTTAGAGCCAAACATTTAACCCAATTCTCACCTTCTACTGACCTAGTTATAAGCAGGAATATTTGCTTACAGATGACCTTTTAAATTGTTAAGATATTATACTCAACATATCTTTGGTAAAGATTGATATTAAATGGAAATATTAACAAAGTAACATTAAGGCCCCAAGTGCAACTGAATTGTTCCTCTGGGAAACTAGTGCTCATATCTGCCAAGTATGTAACTGTTTCTACCTATTTAACCATTACCCTTTCCTGCTCCAACCTCCCATCTCCCTCAATACATAATTTCACAGGGGTGGAGTTAAAACGAGTCTTATGCACTTTCACAGATATCCAATTCAATATTTCCCAAACTGGAGTATGCAGAGGATTTTGATGATAAACCAATTTTTTTTTTCTAAAGTTACACAGAAATTAGGAAAAAAAAAATTCCCAAACACATCACACCTGTGATTCTATAAACAGTGTCACTGGAGATGAGATTTAAGTAGGCAATGCTATGTGAGCTACAAGTCATAGCTTTCAGCACCCTGCATGCTTACCTGGGCCTCATATCTTTAGATACTCATCGTCCTTTATAACTAACCAGTTCAGATAGTACACATGCAATGGAACAGTAACAAGAACTTTCTCCTACAGATTTTCAATGCAGGACTCTATTCTCATCAGTGACAAACCTTTGTTTCCAAAGGTTGGCAATCCTTTAGAATACAAAGTATACATAATATATATGCTATATATACCCACACTCACACACACGATGTAACTGACATTTTTTATGCTCATTAACATCAAAAGTAAAAAAAAATTAATATAAATCTCATCAGTATCTTAAACTAAACAATACTGAGGAGAGTATCCTATTTTTAATAAAGAATAAAACTATTCCATTCTTATCCCTAGGGGACTTATTTTTTAGGTATATCTTTTTTGTAAATGTAACAGATTAGTACTTATGTTTCATAGATTTTAGTAGTTTTAATATGTTTAAAATGTTTAATATGATTTGTTTTAATGCTATTATTTGCAATAATGCTATTAATTTATTAGAGACAAAAATGGTATGTGGTTAAATCAAAAAACTGTAACCAGAGTAGGCAAATAACAAATGGTTTGGCAAATACCAATCTGCATCTTTAAACCAGCCTCTGATCTTATGCCCTGCTCTGCATACTTGTCCTAATTCATGCACCTCAATTTTTAATTTAGGAAAACACTTCAATAAATCCATTTGTTCTCTCTCCCTCTCTCTCTCCTTCTCTCTCTCTCTCTCTCTCTCTCTCTCTCTCTCTCTCACACACACACACACACACACACACACACACACACACACACACAGGCTGGGAGGTGTACTACAGCAAACTGTATACTTTATTCCTCTCTTGACATGCTCAGTGATATTTCTCATGCCCAAATCCTAGCCAAAGCTTGCAGATACCTTTTCCCAGCTAATGATCATATCCTTAAATAGTGTTGTAGGAGAACTTCTTTAGTGTTCCAGTAACCAAAGTTCTAACAACTACTTCCTTCTATGTATCCAGAAATACTGGGAAGTATTCATAATGGCCAAGAGATTTTTTCATTACAAAATCCTGAAGCACTCCCCAATTCAAATCTGAGTTTGAAAACATTTATGCCACCGTTCTTTAGTTTACTGTAATGTTTTCAATATGAATTATCCTGGAAAAATAACTACTAACCAATGTATCTGAATACCAAAATGTACAAGGCTGTAGTAACAATAACCTTATACTTCTTATCTTAAAAAAGAACCAAATGCCATGTTACTATTTTTTGTACCTCTTTAAAGTAAACCAAATTAGGCAATCTGTGGGTAAATATTATCTAATTAATTCAAAGCAATAATATATAAGGAGAAAAAGCTAAATTAACTTGTCTACAAGAATTACTTTTTTAAAATATTAAAGTAGCTTGTCAGGGTTTTGTTTCTATTTACATTACAAAGAATGTCTTAACATATAAGCCACTAATTTCCTTAGCCTTAAATGCTGCTGGATATTGCCTAAGCCTAACCTTGCAAATAGCAATCAGCAGACTTAACTAATGGAAATGCAAGGAAGGATGGGGATGCACAGGAACAGAAAGAGAGGATGTGTAAGACAAAAAGGGGGACTTTGCAGAGACATGGACTCTGGAGTACTTCAGGAGCCACATAGTGACTCCACTCCACATGTATACCCACTTCCACAATAATTTCTTTTGCATTCACCGGAAAAACACTTGCCTATTGGCACTGTAGGAGGAGTCCACTATAGTTCCAACCTGAGCTGGAAGTGATGAAGTGTAGGAAACTAAGGCCGGTGAGAACTCTTGAGGGGAGGTAAGATACTCAGGAGACGCCTGTTGCTGAGGCTGCTGATGCTGAGCTAGCATTTGTTGCTGCAAGAAAGCCTGCTGGTACTGCTGCATCTGAAACAAGAAACGCCTGTTACACAAAACAGCACTTGCTCCAGGTCACTAAAGCACAGTCAGCATCGCACCTAGTTACTCTGCTCCTTCCTTTTCATGTTGGCAACAACATCAGAAGCCTGAAAAACAATTTATATATGAAGGAGCAGCTTGCTACTGGAATACCTCAGCAAGATAAAATAAGTCTATTTAAGAAGCTGTTTAACTGCATGTATTATGGTGATTATTTTGCAAAATATACAAATATCAAGTCATTACATTTACCCCCGAAACTAATATAATGTTATGTCAATTATACCTCAATTAAAAAAAAAAAAAAAAAAAAAAAAAAAAAAAAAAGCTGTAAAGCCTGGCTCTCTTGGCAGGATTCAAATTCCTCACTTGAATAGTTTAAGAAAAAGACAATGGAGTAGCTTACAGTCACTAGAACAGCAGTTGCTATAAAAAATTTTTTAAAAAGTCACACTATTCTCTGAAGTAAATGCAATTTTCCTTTGGGTTTCTTTTTTTATTCAACAGATATGTGCCAAATGAAAGAGACATATGACAAAAGATCATGGGAAACAGATCATTTCCTTTATACCATGAGATAAGAGAAAAATACCATCAGTCAGTTACAACGTGCCAAATTCAGGTGCTACAGTTCAAACCAATGTAAAACTGCTTTGGAACACACGAATGGCTTTGTTGAAACTGTATTGGGCACTTGGGTGGTTCAGTCAGTTAAGGGTCCGACTCTTGATTTCAGCACAGGTCACAATCTCGCTGTTCATGAGATTGAGCCCTGTGCCAGGAGAGCCTGTTTGAGATTCTTTCTCTCCCTCTCTCTCTGCTCCTCCCCCTGCAAAAATAAACTTAAAAATAAAAAATAAAACTAAAAAAAAAATGTGTTCATTAACCTACTTGGGTTAATTTTGAATAATTAAATTCTGAATAATACCATTTATACTGTGAATTCCAACACTGGAATGTATTCTCAGAAATTTCTACAAATTATGTAACATTTACCATTGCAGGATACTGTGATGCAGAAGGTTGCGGCTGATACACTGAATGCATTAAAAACTGTTGCTGAAGGATCTGTTGCTGCTGCATTGCATGTTGATACTACAATGAAAAAACAAAGAAACTCATCAATATTACTTGTGCCTTTTTTGTGCCATAGTTGTTTTTTTTGTTTTGTTTTGCTTTTTTTTTTTAGTACTGATCTTAACATCATAACTATGGGTACTAGTGGTCCAAATACCAAAGTAAAATAGCTACAGTCAGTAAAGGACTACAACTTACACATGCTTATTGGAATTGGGTTTCAAAAGTATCAATGAAACATAACAGATTCAACTAAAACTATTCCCAGCACAGTTTAAGGATGTTTGGAAGAAAACTAAACCCAAACACATTTACTAATTAATGAAAACCCTAGTTTGTGTCCATGACCCATTATAGTAAATTCCTAATCTCCTCCATCTTCCCTTCAATGATATCTTCTGGCCATCCAATGGCACCGTCTACTTAACTATGTTCCGCTCTGGGTCTATCAGTCAAGACCAGAAGATGAGACATCCATGAGAAGTGCCATGCGTTTAATAGGCTCAAAAACATTTCAGAAAAGATGGAAGGATGATTGTGACAAGTCATTAAATTTGAAATAGTTTAGTGAAACTAGAAATTTGTAGGTCCTAACGAGGCAAAGGGCAGAATAGAACGTAAGGTCATTTTTTCCTATGTCCCTTCCAACTCTAAATGCCACTCGTACACACACACACACACACACACACACACACACTCTCTCTCTCTCTCTCTCTCTCTCACCCTGGCCAAAAAAAAAAAAAAAGCAAAAAGAACAAAATCCCAAGATAATGTTACTTCTGAAAGCCTAAATTATCACCCTTCCAGTAATAATGTTATAAATCTGTTTCTCAACTCAAAATATAACCTGAAAAAGATAACATTCACCATAAACAGCCATGTTTATTCATAATGTCCAATGACTGAACATTTTTGGCTTCATAAAGCCATGATTTCAATCTATTTCAACAGAATATTTTTTTTTAATGTTATTTTTTTAAGTTTATTTATTTTGAGACAGAGAGAGAGAACATGCGCAGGGGGACAGAGAATCCCAAGCAGGCTCCGTGCTGTCAGCGCAGAGTCCGACGCAGGGCTTAAACTCACAAACCATGAGATCAGGACCTGAGCTGAAACCCAGAGTCGGACGCTTAACCGACTGAGTCAGCCAGGTGCCTCTCAAGAGAATATTCTTAAGAATCTCACAGACTGCAACTAAAATAATCAGGAAATTGGACAAAGTGCTCACTTGGACCCAGAACTGAAGGTGCCCAGTGTATGAAAGGGAACTCCCTGATACTCAACAGCCACATGAATTTCACAACACTACTCCCGTATCCACAGTAACCAAAGAATTACCTGCTGCATGTAGGCATCCTGAAGTAGCTGCTGCTGCTGCTGCTGCTGCTGCTGCTGCTGCTGCTGCTGGTGAGGATGGCGATGCTGTAAATGTAGTTGCTGCAATCTCCAATCTCCCTGTTGTAGCTGCTGAAGTACTCTATGCTGTTGTGGAGGCTGCTGAGGGGGACCCTGACCCAATACAATCTCGGGGCCATTTCCAGGTCTCGGTGCTCCTAAAAAGTGGTTTCCATGTGAAACATAGGTTAACATACTCAAGACTTCAACAAAATGGCTGGATTTCTAAACACTCATTTCAGTAACATTACCAAGGCATTTATATCCTTATTTTGTAACACAGAAACTTCCAGATGCATGTAGTCCAAAGGGATTATTTACTGTAATCTTAAATACAACTCTGCCCAAGTCAACATCTTAGAAACACTTCTTTCATATCTGTCAACACACCAGCCACATCCTTTCTTTCTTGCTTCTCAACTATCACATACACTGGCATAGGTCTGTGTCTTGGCCAATATGATTCTCTCCGTCTACAAGGCCACTTGCCACCCACTGCAATTCTTCTTATCCTTCAAAGTTTAGCTCAAATCTCTCTTCCTTGCTCCTTTATCTAATAGTTCCACTCAGTTTATAACATTTCATTCGGCCCTCACATATTGTTTTCATGGCTATTTCCTAACTAGGGTCCCTGGTGGATGGGATGATGACTTATTGATCTGTTAATGCCTTAAGGAATCTTTTTTATAAGAGATGCTCAATAAATGCTAGCTTAGTGAATCTATTAATACTGCCTCCTAAATGGATATTTATTTATAAGCTTCATAAATTTTACCCAAGGCAAATCCTATAAACTTTGGAATTATGAGAAAGAGACACACAACATCAAAAAGAAGAAATGTGATATACTATAATTTCTGTAGTCTCTTCCAATGAGTTACCATAAATTCAAATGCAGCTATATATTCCTAAGGGGGAAAAAGAGGAAGAGTGCAAGGAAGGAGAGGGAGATTCTTTTTCACCAATATCTTTAAACTTCCTAGGCCTTAAATATAACACACTTCTATGAAAATAGTTTTGTAACATTCTAATTCTCCCAATTATAAGAAAATGCATGTTGACTGCAATTATTTTTGAATTTATAAAAATATGCAAAATAAAATTAAAACCATAATTGTACCACACAGACATAACCACCATTAATTAGCCTTTTAAGTGTATTTCTTCCCACTTAGTAGAGTACTGAAAAGTTAAGCTCCTCAGCGTTATTCGTCTTTTAGGACCTTGATGTCTAACCGTAGAACATTATGGCTGTGAGTGAAGCCCAGTTACACCAGCAATCATCATAAAATAACTCACGAGGCTCACCTTTCACCTCACAAACTGTGACTTCACGTTAGTGACAGCAATCTAAAGGAAGTTCCCTGGTTCTCTAGCCAAAGCCACAGAGCACCAGAGAAATCATAAACATCACAGCAATCCTACATGGAAACAATGCTTTCAAGTATATCATTAAATCGTCATACTATTATTGCCCAGTTTGCAAATGATAAAACTAAGGCTCAGAGAAGTTAAGTGGAATCACCGGTAAAATTAAAGACAAACTATAAGAAAATATTTACAATATATTTAGCAAAGAACTAATACTCAGAATATAGAAAAATCAAATCTTCAGGGCAATAAAAAAATAAATAAATAAAAGCAAAACAATCTCACAGAAAATTACAAAAGATAATCCAGGAGAAAACAAACGGCCAGTAGACTGAAACATTGTATTAATCAGGAATATTAAAATAAAAACAAAGATATTTCACCTATAAACAGGGAAACATTCTAAAAAACCAATACTATCAAGTGTTGGCAAGGACAGGAATCAAAGGACACTGTTGTTGAGTGTGAATTTTTGAAGTCTTTTTGGATGGCAATCTGACAAATTTTAAATGAGTATACCTTTTAATATCTTCCTCAGAAAAAATACTCTAACATGGAAATCAAAAGAGTCTGTTATAAGGATGTCCACCACAATACTTTTAATAACAACCAATACTGGAAATAACCTAAACGGTTTAATAAGCTATGATACATTCACACTACAGAACATCATCTACCTACTAAAATACACATGGTAGATTTATATGCACTGATGTGCAAAGCTCTCCTAACTGTAGGAGTTAAAAAAAAAAAAAAAATCAAATTGCAGAGAACTATGTATGGTAAGAATCTACTTATGCTAAACACAACATAAATTATTTGTATCTATATATGAACATGCAAAAACATAAAAAAGGACCCTGAGAAGCATACTAACCTATTGCTCGTTTACTCTACAGAAAAAATAACGGAGACTTTTACATTTTTCCCCGAAAACTATTGTGCTGAATATTTTAAAAGAATATATTTAAGTGTCACTTCTTGTATAATATTTAATGGGGGGAAAAGTTAAAAGATGCACATATGGGGGGGAAAAAGGAGTATTATTTTTCCAACTTAAGCTGGAAGCATGACAAAAAGAAATGCTGCCCCTGCTATAGGAGCAGGCCCGACCCTCACAGCTAGACTTGGTGTTCTCCTAATAAACAACAATTTCACAGAACACTAACATCAGACAAGGCTTCCTGTGACCATGGTAGATCAGGACAAGGGGACCGAATCCTGACAAAATCAGAAACAACCACAAAAATGACCAAACCTCTCCCTGTCCTGGTGAATAGGGCTGACTACTGCTTCTATCTAGCTGGAACTTTAGCTCCCCTCCTTCTAGAGAAGTAAGATTTATTAAGATACCTAATAACATCATACCCCCGGCTTCCTGACAGCATTCAATCCAGAGCAAAGCCCCACCTTCTTCAAGCTTCCCCCAGAATTACCTAAAACAAGCCCAAATCCTTCAATAAGTCTTTTCAAGCTCCATCTTACTGAGACACCACCACAGATTCCCATGATATGTGAGTAATAAACCAAATTTATTCAAATACAAGTGTGTTCTAAGTGCTCTTTGGCTGGAGGGCATTGATACATCATAGAGAAGACTAGTAGATCTCGAACCCAAAATGGTAAAAAAAACAAACAAACAAAAAAAAAACCCACTAAATGCTTACTATGAAACAGAAACTTCCAGATAGCACGCACCTTGTCATTTATTCTTTATAACAGGAAAAATAGGTGTTATTCCCATTTTACAGAAGAGAACAGTGAGGCTAAGAAACAGACACAAAAGGCTTCAACTTCCCCTAATTTCTCTCTTCCATGGAACAATCCTCCCATCTGAGTGACATGACAGGAGTAAGCAGCAACGTGTCAGGTAACATTAACATTATCTTCCCTGAATATACACCTAACAGTCATAGTGGTAGCTAATATTTAACATTTTGTAAGGACAGGGGATTATATTAAGCAGTTATTTAATCCTCACAGCAATCCTATCAAATAGGTACCAAAATTTTTATAACATATATTACTAAGAAATGGGAAAAACAGAACTCAAATTCAGGTTCATGAGACTCAAACTGGTGGGCTCTTAACCATTAGAGCATACCAATTGAAAACATCTTAAATGAAAACATTTTAAAATTAAAACAAAATAGCTAAATCATGAAATAAAATGCAAAACAGGGTTTTCTTAAGATGGGGCTTCAAGTTATATCCCCAGACCCATGAGAGAACAAGTTTACTAGCTAATATTAGGGATACTTCCTTGAGGAAAAAATTTCTTTAGGTACTACACTGCACCATAATGCTTTGAGGATGTTTTAGATTAGAAAAACAAATCTCAAAATCAGATGAGAAGACAGGTTTCTGTGTCGTAATGTCCACACGACCTAAGCTAGATGCCTCTGCCAAGGTTCTAAATGCAGTGGAAAGACATATAACTTTTTAAGGCTAAAGTTTCAACTTCCTCCTTTCCAACACAATACAGAATTTTCCATACTCTTAGAACTTTATTATCAACCTCAAACCCTACTAGCTGATGACTCTATGGATAAGCAAGTTGAAAGCATTTTATACCATACTTCTATATTACCAGTATGTTACTACTTTTGCCTACAACTTTAGGAAAAACTAGTTGAGTTTATCAGACATCAGTAGAAAGTTTCTTAAAGCATTAAGTTATATGCTTCACAATAGTAAGTTTGCCAATAATTTATATTCCTAGGAATATCAAGCCATAAGATTCAAGCTAACTGTAAAGGTGACAAGGTTGGCAGGGCTGCTATTACCTTTTGGTCTGTGGCTACCGAATTCACCAGGAACAGGGACTTTAACAGGTGTTGCTGAACTCTGAATGGTCAGCACACTGGGAGTGGCAGTAGTAGAGTTGGCCTTTGGTCTTTGTCTTGGTGCAATTGAGGTTTCTGTTGGTCCAATGGTATCTGTTATTCTACAACAGAAAAATACACATTTCATTCTAAATACTGGCAGTATTTCTAATTTACTATTTGTCCTATAAAGCATCTATTTCAACAGATGCATTTTAATTATTACTGATGATATTAGTCCTCTCGGCCTCTTCCTGTCTCATTCCCAAGTATTAAATGTTTAATAAAGATAGGAAAGTAAATAAAATAAACCTAGCCATTTTCCTTAACTCAGTATGCTACCATTCACAGTCTGCCACTGAAGCTGGTAGATAAAGAATACAGGATTGCGGGGCACCTGGGTGGCGCAGTCGGTTAAGCGTCCGACTTCAGCCAGGTCACGATCTCGCGGTCCGGGAGTTCGAGCCCCGCGTCAGGCTCTGGGCTGATGGCTCAGAGCCTGGAGCCTGTTTCCGATTCTGTGTCTCCCTCTCTCTCTGCCCCTCCCCCGTTCATGCTCTGTCTCTCTCTGTCCCAAAAATAAATAAACGTTGAAAAAAAAAAAAATTTAAAAAAAAAAAAAAGAATACAGGATTGCTCTTAAGGAAATGAAGTAGCAGACACAAACATAAACCTTCTCATAAGGTTCTGGACCAAATCAAGAGCCAGCTCTGTGAACCAGTCAGAAAAATAAAAACAAGATACAAACAACAGCCTCCCTTACCTTAGGCTCTAGGCCCAAGAACAAAAAGATGGCGCTCTAGGGCATGTGAAACAAAAAGGGGCCCAAATTTTCAGCAGGTGGAGCCATCTGCTCACATTCAACTTCTTGGATCTTTATGCTTTACTTAACAGTGAACAGAAATCATATAAAACTCTTCCCACTAGGACTTAGTTTAGGCCACAGACACAGGAGGTCAAAGTGGTAAGCACAGGTTTGAAAACAAGAGACACTAAAAGACACAGACATTTTCTTTTCCAAAAAAAAATTTTTTAAAAGCCAGGGAAAATCTTTAACTTATATATTTATCAACTTATTTTTTTCTACAAATTCAGTACAAAACTTCAGGTACTTTTTAATAGAGTTATTGATTTACTTTTCAACATGATTGACATAAAATCTCTTCACCAAGTTCCCTTAGCACATTTTCAAATGATTTGGTACTTAAAAAGTTTGCATACATGATTTATCAAATATGTATCTGCTGCATGCATTTGGAGAAAGTCCTATGTACAATAACTGTACATCTACAGTTCTTTCTTATATCTGTATGTGCCACAAGAGGGAGCCCTCTCAACAATCTTTCTAAAAAGAAGTGAATTTGAATCAAAAGATTGTGGAAAATAGTAGAAATATATTATATGTGTGTTGTTTTCTAAAAAGAACATTTATGTTTTAGATGGGATGGGTTATGGTACAAGTTACAGGAAAACTGAACTAAAAGGCAATAAAGTTTTATATATACATATATATATATGTATATATAAAACCAGTTATATCTCATTTTAATGATAATCAAGTATTTACTGAGTTCAAATTACGGATATGGCACTAAAACCAATGCTGAAGTCTCTAAATTCAAGTAATCTGGGGACTGTATATTCTACACTATCTTTCTATCTGTCTATCCATTCTTTATTAAGATAGTAGAGGCCAGGCCCTACCCTGCCTTGTTCCTGTTATAAACTGCTCTATAGAGATTCACAACATACATGAGCATAGCAAACTTCCAAAAAACAAATTAAAAGGTCTGCAGATTTTAGTCTACTGCTGCCTAATTTTACCCATGTACCAACATCTATCATACGATTACTGCTATCCAGCAAACATGGCAGAATACCCGGTCTTCAAAGAATTTACAGTATACCTAGGAAGATGTGACACATGTTCATCAACATACAGTAAAATAGAAGTCAGTAAATATAATTAGTGCCAAGCTAGTACTGTCAAGAGTTTCACAGAGGAATAATTCCACCTTTTTACCTAATTTGGCTAGAAAGGCTTCAGGTAGGTGCTGGAGAATAAAAAATAAATATGCTTTCGTTAGACAGTGAAAAAGAAATGAAGCATTCTGTATGAAGCAATGGGAAGAAAATGCCTGGGCAGATTAGGCAATATGAAAACACAAACGTGACTAAAAGGAAAGACTGAGTAATCATTAGTATCAACACTACTGTGCAGCCTCATCTGCACTATTACAATAGACAAAGCTGTTTTCTCTGCTTCCTTTCTTTTCCTCCTCCTTCCTATCACCTGAGCAATCTTCCTAAAACACACACTCTCTCCTCTTAAAATACTTCAGTGTTTCCATCTGGCAGGACAGTGATTCTCAACTTTTCCACTTTTAGATGCAAGTCACAGAAGTCTCAAATGTTTAACAGTCCCAAGAGCAGGTGCAGGTTTCAGGGAAATAGAAAGGGGCTTTTAAGAAGTAAAGCAAACATTGCCACATAGTAAAGGCCGGGCAGATCGACAGTATTCATAAAAGCTCTGAAACACGTAAATAATGGTATTTAAAGATTTCTCCAATCACCCCTCCCCACTGATAAGCCTTTGACATGAAAAAGACTATGTTTTAGACACATTTAAACTTTTTCAAGTTCTTTACTGATTATATCAATAAAGAGTAAATTTATATTATTGACCAATAAGCACCAAGGAACCTAATTTTTAATGTCAGGTACGGATTTGACATAATATGAATAGTACTGTGAATTTTAGCTGCATTAACTATTTCATTAGGTTTTAATTGTATAGCTATGACTTGTGTCATGGTGAAAAGATATTCAAAACATCATTCTTGTTCAGTTGAGTCATGTTTTTTTAAAAATCTATATCTGCTTTCTTACAGATTTCATCGTTGACAAAATAATTATTAAAAACACACCAATAAAATAAAATTGAACTGACAAGTCCTACAATAGTTCATAATTGCCACTCAACTGTAACAGCAGCTGCCAACTACAGCTACGTCATAGATAAGACAGTCACAGTGAATTCATGCAAGTTAGATGCAACTTTACTCTTTCATCTCTTACTCAAAAGAGTATTTTAAATTCAAGTAAATGAAGATTTTTTTAGAGTGATGGTATATTTTTTTAAACGAAGTCATTCACAAATGATACTTTAATTTCTAAATAGCAAATTATTTTTTATTACTTATTATTATAACACATCTAACAGCAAAGTCACAAATCGTAGAACTGACTGCCAGTTGAAAATTCACTGGCTTAAAGGCCAAAGTCCAAATTTCTGAGCATAACATATAAACAAAGTTGTTCATGACTGGCATCTACCTACCATTTCCCACCCCTCTCATCTATGTCCCCTCACACTCCAGCCTTGCAGTTTCACAAAGGCCATTCTTCTTGCCTGAAGTGCCTGCCTGTTACAGTTTCACTCCCCATCACTCCAGGTGACTGACTACTCATCCCTCAAGGAAAAGTTAAGGCAAAAGGATTCTTTCTGTCCTTCTGTTTTCTCTGCTCCCAGCTTTTCTTGTCTGTCTTCATTAGAATGTGAGCTCCTTGAGAATAAACACTGCTCCTTTTACTTTGTGGTTTACAGTATCTATATCTAGCATATAACAACAGGTACATAATAAATATACTTTATGTATTTCAGTCAAATGAAATCTTTGCATGAGTAAAATACAGTACCAAAAAAGCTGTGACCAAGAAATGTCCCCAACTGCAATATTATACCTGTCTGATAATCTAAAATATAATCCTGTTTATTAAGTTTTAAACTCAAAGAAGCAAGAAAAAAAATCAATCATTAATTCAATCATTGATCAGATACACATCTTAACATACATAACACAAGTCAAACTTATCAGTACAGTGAATAACTATTAACGATAATTTAAAACTTCTTTACCAGTCTAACAAGTACTATAGCCATTCATTATAAATTATACATAGTAATACATATTTTAAATATGTATTAGAATATATAAAATTGATTACAGATTTAGAATATTCTAAAACAGTTGCCTGTTATTTTTTCTTTCCTTAAAAACAAATGATACCAGCTACAAACACAAAACATAAAATTTCATGAATTAGAGTTCCCATGTGATGAAATAATGATAACCCCCAAAATGATCCAATGTAACATCACTAGCTGCGTAACCACTTCTTAATTGCTAAGGGTGAGCAGTTCAAGTGAGACTGATGTCAAACTCCATCCCCAAAGTAAGAAAGCTTCTTTTGTACTTGTTATCTAAGCTCCTCATCACATGCAGTAAGGAACACACATTTTTTTTGTGTATAAGCGAAAATGATATTTAATCAATGACTTGCTAGGATTAAACATCAGAACTATACCTTTTAAAAAATGCCTTTTCAAATCTCAGCACAGCTTTGCCTACCTGGCTTTTATTTGGCTTTTCCTAGAAGCTGCTTCACTAGCAGTCATCGGTTCAGGAAGAGCTGAAGGAATAGAAGAATTCTTCGAAGAAAAAAATAAAATAAAACTTTTCATTTTGATTTTCATTTCAATTGCAGAAAGTTTTATTTAAATGCTATAGATACACTCTTAAGCTTAAAAAGTACTGTCTGTGAAATACTTTCACCTCAGATACCTACAAAATATTCACATATATTTGCCAGATCTAATCTGCAAATACCACTTCATTCTACACAAATGTCACTTTCAATATTCATGTTCCACAGAATTCCTTGGAAAATAAACAGAACATCATCATATATCCACTTTACAAATAGGTAAATATTGGATAAAAAGAAGGATTATATTACATTTGTAAATCAATGACTATTTTCCAAATGACTTTGGAAAAGGCAGCAAACACCAAGCATATGAGTAAAGTGCTATTTCTATATACTGCAGATAATTTGCATGACACTGCTTGTAAAAAGTCTAGAAAACAAGAGCAGAAGACTTGTTTATGCTCTATAGAACGTTTGTCTTACAGTAGGCACCCAAATGCATATTTGCTGAATGAAAAACTAAAAATCCACAGTTAAATGTCAAATGAATTTACTTTCATGACTATAATATTAGACCTGCCTGATTTTCAGCATCAACAGAGAATATATTACAGTGAGACTTAAAAACAAAAAGAAATAGTATCAACGTCCTTAGTTTTCTAGTGGGATGGACTAAGTTTTACATACCGAGACATCTATAAGAACAAGAGCCAGAATGATCTTTACAAAGTTGAGAATGGCTTAAAATTAGTGATGGGTTTAGACTTTTATTAAAAATTAGCAAAGATTTGCCACACACAGTTAATCTGACATAGTTAGGTATACTATGCAGACTGAATATAATTCAAAACCTCTAAATAGTATTTATTAGCTATTATCAACTCATCGCCTTCCATGGACTCGGCACAGGGTTTTACATTTACTATTTGTGATCCTAATAATTATTACTTTGACGGAAAAAAAAAATAGACATTAAGTAAGTTCCCAAAATATACAAAATCAGTCACTGATAAAGACAGATCTGAACCCAAGTCTCTACATTTACAATACCTATGCTCTCTACACCAAAGGTAACCAAACTTATTTCAGTTTACCCAGTGCTTAGTGCCTCAGCAAGTTTTCATGACCCTCTCCAACTAAAGATCTAATAGTTCTGTTTGTTTAAATGATAGGCCCAAACAACTTAATAATACTAATTTGTGCTGTGTCAAACAGATGTCACTGTGTGTCCCTCAAAAGGAAAAATATCCTGCTGTGCCCCAAGTCTGCAGTAACTCCCCGGGGCACGACAATACACAGTTTCTGGCAATTATGACTTTTTGTCAAAAATACTAATCACAAACACACTATCGGACCACTTGTCATGAAACAAATAATTCTGTAAGTATATGTATCTATATGTATATATCTATCTATATGGGATTTTAAATTCATATCCTACTTGAAAAACTACTTACATTGATGTTGGAGACTGGACAATCCTTTTTGGCAAATTTAAATGCAAAATAGGACACTTGAAATATGTCAGGTCTATGTTCTGGATCTGGTTCAAGCATGAACCCTGTAAGAACAGATTAAAATGTTAAGAAGTTTCACTGAACACACAGAAGCTATTTAGGGGCATGTTAAAAGAGTAAAAGGTACATACATATATTTTTTCCATTCTAAGATCAGTGATTCTAGTAAAGTTTGTTAATGTTATAGAAAATATAGAAATTGTTATTTTAGACATGAACAAATGTTAATATTCTTCTCACGAAGTGACACAAAACGTGAGTTTTGTGAACTGAGGAATTATTCAAGAAAGTTCCAAGCCACAGTACAAGTCCTTATTGTCATTATTATCTAAAATACCTCTCCTAATTTTCAAAGGATCCTGAATCAAAGAGAAACAATGTAAGTTGTGTGCATTATAATCTATTTAACAAAAGTAGTTCAGGGTTGACAATATAGTTTTCCGAGAACATTCTTTCTTCCCATAGTGATGCTAACAATATTCACCATATTTCTTATTTCTACATGCTATTCACATCATGTTCAGAAGTATGAGCAGAGTTTTAAGGCTCTATTATAAGCAGATTTCACACCAGCCTCACAGCACTGCTTGAAATACCTGACCTTTTGTCTAACCAAAACGATCTTTTTTTCTAACCAAATGACCACTTGACTATTTCTTGGGTGACTTTTTAATTCACAAGTTCACAAGAAGGCTGACATTTATACTCGATTCTATAACTGAGAAATTTGTATTTTGTTAAAACACCTCCATGTTCTAACTCTGTTTCACTGATTAACTCTAAATTCTTATAATGTTCAAATCATTTTTAAATCTATTTGGAATATATGTATAGCATCAATTAGATCTGAGATTTGCTAATAAAATTATAAATAGAAAAATCTAACTATATAAATGACTAAACTAAAATTAGAAATCAAAATGAATTAAATCGTCCTTTCAAATTTAAGCAACATCTGAACAATGTGTAATACATCTGCAACAGCATGATCAGCATGGGTTAAAAACACAGTTGTGTAGAAAATGACACTAACCACAAACTTAGAAATTGATTTAGGAAATTCTAAACCCTGTTTTAAAAATACTCTGCACATAACTTGATTTTATATGCTTAAAAAGGCCAACATATATCACTTATAAAATTGACTTTTTATTATTTTATCACCATTGTTAGATGGAAATAACCAAAAATATTTACTATTAGTTTGTCTTTAACTTCATTCCAGAAAGGATTCGGGAAATCTACAGTTTATTTTATCCTCCAAAATTATATTTGTTCTTGATACCAACAAACGTTAAATATTTTAAAAGTATAATAGTACATGATATGAAAATAAATTTAAACACTTTTAACAAATGCTTATTCATATAATTTTTAAAATTACAAGAACAAATCACAAGAAACCTGCCAAATTCACAAACTTACTCTGTTTTTCTATTCTAACAATTAAGTTTATTTCACTTTTAAAATCTAATCTCAACTGTAGCAAATTATAATATTTATATTTATATAAATATATAATAGACCTGAAAAGGCATAAAAAACTGTAAGATTTTTTAAATATATGAGAAAATTAGAACAGAAAAGTAACAGCTGAGGGCCCCTCACCTCCCAAAAAAATGTAGGATAATGATATCAGTAAAGAAACTGTATATGATTTGGTCCTATAAATGTAGGCCAAAAATTTAGCTCTCTACTTTCTAGCTGTCAAAACAAATAGAGCAACATGATCCATTACAAGAATCACAGTATCCTTAGTATGAAAACAAACCAGGTACTAAGAAAAAGCACTATTCCTGATATTGAAAGCAAAAAGTAAATTCTCCTTGGAGTCTTTATAAAAAAGGCTCAGAGTGAACAATATCCTTAAGAAATCGCAGTGAGTGACAAAGGGTCATTCCTTCCATGATGATCAGTGACATAACACCTAACTGCATTTCAGCACAAAAAATTCTATGAAAGCAAAGAAAAGTATGACACAAGAATATACTTTTCTGGCCTGACTTAATCTAGGAAAATCTTTTCAAGTATCTAGAATAGAAAAGAATGATCCTTCAGGCAATCCTATATATAGTTTCCTTCTTAGTAATAAAAAGCAAGGGAAAATAAATTTGAGATTTCATGTTCTCTAACCAGTGTCTTTATAGGTAATTCTCTCTCCCAAGTTAGGCACTGCACAACATCCCCTAATGATTAGGTAACCAAGCTGTGAGTAACCAAGCTGATATCATTTTATAAGCAAACAAAAGGACGTCTAACACCTGGCTCATGTTTTCATGTAGGACTACATCCACTAAAGTCAGTTTAAGTTTGTTAACTGTACTGATCCCATTCATGGTACATAAAATCAGTTTAAAAGGTCATGACTATCATTTATTTTAATAAAATAGAATATAAAATATTAGAGTGCATTAATATGGTAAGTATAAGCAATGTTTCATGAAACCTGTTTTTTGTGTGTGTGTGTGTGCGCGTGTGTGTATGTGTATGAGGTCATAACTAAAATGTAACTTTTACTATGGATCTCAGTTTGAAAACCACTGTACTAGTGACCTCTCTCTCTACTTTATAACTCATTCCTCTCCAAGAAAAAGACAGTGAGTTGTCTAATTGTTAGATAAGAAAAAAGAAATAAGCACCCACATTCATCAATCTCTGATACTCTTTCTTTCAGAACGATTCTCAGGACATGTTATATTCTCTCTGCAACCATGTTTTGTAAATGGCGTGCTTCTCGGGAGGAAGTCTATGGCTTTCCAGCATTGCCTATCACTAGGTGTAAGTAAATTTGGGGACTGAATACAGATTAACAGGTCCATTTGCCTTCAGATCTAAATTTCATTCTGCAATCTGCTTTATTAGTACTGATGTTGACACTTTTACCTGATGAGCTCCTGTGTCCCATCTCTGACTTGATTCTAATTCAAAGTATAAGAAGACTGAAATCCATAGGTAGAACATGGCTATATTTTTATCTCTGAACATTTTTATATTAGATATTATCAGCCATTTAAAAAGAAAAAAATCAATAAGGCATCTTTAAGCATTTAATTTAAATAATATAATTTCCCAAACTGTCCAAGAGAATGGGTTGCAAAATGTACTCCTGGATTACTGAATGATATAATCTGGAGTAGAGAGGTATCAGCTCTAATCTAGCTAAACAATGAGGCGTATCTACTAAGAATGACAACTTCGTTTTTTAAGTAATTTGTCCATTTTCTCTCACAATAATTAAACCTCAAGTGTAGTGTTTTAGTAATTCCTACTTCAAAGACAACAAAACCATATCATCTACAAATATATGCTCCTGAAATGATTGATTAAGAAATGTATGTGTCTAGTTCATCCAAAAGTTAATCAAGTGTTTGAGTTCAAAAAAAAGGAGGGGGGGGCAGAGAAGTTAGAATACACCCTGTTTACTCAATTTAAAGTGATCATGTGAATCATCATGGAACATTCCCACTGACCTTGATTCTACTGAAAATATAAGATCAACTTTTAAAATATTAGCCACATGGAAATGAAAGGCTATTTCTCTGTTCCTCTTAATTGCATGACTCTATTGATACGAACACTACTAACACACCCTGAGAACACAAAATAGTCCGAGCACTGAAGGTAGTGTATGATCAGACCACCACAGTATTTCCAACTGGAGTATCAGACAAAAAACACTTGCCCAAGGCAGCTGAGATAGTTATGTTTATAACAAACTTTGTGCAGGAAAGTACAACATCTATGCATATTCCAACAAAAAGCACAACTGATGGAGCAGCAGCTGCTGCTGCTATAGCACTAACCAAGTTAAAGTACGGTTTCACCAAAGACTCAACCCAAAAACTAAATAAAGTCATTCCCATTCAAGTTATACAAAATGATAGATCCACACCTGGACCTAAGTAAAAGTTAAACCAGCCTCTCCAATAGCTCAACAAATTTAACAGGAAAATACTTTGGACAGAAGTCTCAAAAGAATTTATCTGCTTAAAATCTTGCTCAATTGTTTTCCTTTCATAAAGACACTTTTTCTCTCCCAAAGACTTCTATTTACTACGCTTATAGTAAAAAAGCTAAAAAGAGAAACACCCACTCTGATTGTACAACAAAAATACTCTAAGCATTAACTTGTTATTTTTATCTGTTAACCTATGGAGATTATCACAGAGCTTCCTCAACTTACATGGGGTTACATCCCAATAAACCCAATGTAAATTAAAAATACTGTAGGTCAAAAATGTAATACATTTAATTAATACATTTAATACACCTAACCTACTGAACATAACTTAGCCTAGCCAACCTTAGACATGCTCAGAACACTTACGTTAGCCTGCAGTTGGGCAAAATCAGCTAACACAAAGCCTATTTTGTAATAAAGTGTTGAATATCTCATGTAATTTATCAAATACTGTACTGAAAGGGAAAAACAAAATGAATGTATGGGCACAGAATGCTAGAAAGTGTCATCGTCACCCCCGTGGTCACACGGCTGAGTGGAAGCTGCAGCTCAATGCTGCTGTCCGGCATCATGAGAGCAATGCAACACATCTCACTAGTTGGCAAAAGATGAAAATTCAAAAATCGAAGTATGGTTTCTACTGAAATGGTATCACACCCATTGTAAAATTCAAAAACCAGAAGCTGAATCATCATAAAACCAGGGACCAAGTGCATTAGAAACTTCTATGTTAGGAATATAGGTCCTACACAATTTATTCTATGGAGTGCTAAAATGAAACTAAATTTAACAGCCAATAACTGTGAACTGTGTTCAATCATAACTGAAACACTAAATGGCACTATAAATATACCAGGATAGTATATTTGGGATAGTCCTGGTAGCTGTCCCTAGAAGTCACTGATCAGAGCCCTCTTTCTATATCTGCCAGAGCAGTAACTCAGGGGCAATGACTGGAAATCTCCAAGAAACTCCTATCTTAATCTTTCATTTCTTTCCAAAGGTACATTAAAATGTCTGAGATTATTTTCAAAAATAATATAGAAGAGTGGGTAAGGCCATACATGAAAAAAAGATTGACTG